CATAGGAGACCGGCAGGCTCAGTGCATGTTGTTTGACGCTGAGGTTACTCAACTGACAAGTGCACATGTGTTAAAAGCGACGGGGCTCGTGTAGTTGTCCAAGGAGTTGATCGCACGGGAATTCTGCGATTGAGTCACAAATCGAGTTGTCCCATGAGCAGTGACCGGTGCAGATGGGCATTTGAATTGGCAACGTTGAATTTTACGGTCTGTTGTGAGTGAGTAAAGAAGAGTAAGATCTGGGGTACCAGTAGACGTACTGCAGCGTTTTCATCTCTAAATTTCACTATCATTGAGGTGGGCAAGGATGGTTTCGGCTCTAGTAGCTGCCGAGCTCTGCAGACAATTTTGAGCATGTTGCATGCTGTTACAGCAGTTTTTCGTGTACTCAAGCAAGATGCGATAAAGGGCACGCTTAAGAAAGTAAAAGGAGCCAACTGATGGACAGGCGCTGTAATTATGGGGCAGGACGTTCACGACGGACACCGACTCCAAATTACTTTTCGAGAAGGCCTAATGCAGAAGAAAAAGTGGTGGAATTGTACAGTGAATATATGAGGGATTGATCTAAATAATAAAGAAACCAGTATAAAACTGGGTAAAGCATGGCGGAGAAGGGCTTGGAGTTATTCGGCAGTGATACCAGTATTTTGCTATAAACGCGACATAACATGTTCAATTTCTCGGATTTTAGAACGGCAAAAAAAGGGGAAAAATCCGTTCTTTCATCAGGCGATGGTGGCAGTAACATAGGACAAAGTGTTAACATATTTGGCCTGTTAGGTTGTGTTCGATAAATAATTACCATCAACACTGTCAGCTGTAAGAACCGCGTACTCGTCGTACACTGGTTGTAGCTGCTGTGGTTTCGTTCACCGATGATTTAAGGGGGGGGGTAGGTAGCTGCGCATTGCACGCGCGAGCTGGTAAATTGGTGCATAAATCTAGCACTGTCAGTGGGCTGTCAAGTGGATGGGGTTGGAAAAGGAACTATGCATTGAAGGCAATAGCTTGGATGCACGAGCGCCATTGAGGGCGCGATTGGGCCATATCTGACATTGATGTGGCCCGTCTCGGGGTCCCCATCCTGGAAGACGGCAGTGACCAGCGCAGCTGAGTTTGCTGGTAGTTGCTTTCATACTTCACTGCCAAGTCATTGTTTGACCGCCTCCGGCTCTCTTCCACCCTTCACGTGGTTGTGCAAAAAGAGCCCTTCGAGGAAGTCGGTCGACTGGCATACGCAACACGTGGCCAAGCCAGCGCAACCTATGCAGTGTGATCAGTTCATCTATCGAGGGTGAGTTATTTCTCCC